CGGGCTGGTGGTGAGAGGGATATACCCACTGGGGATGATCCTCCTTGACGTGGTGCACGATGCGCCAGAACCGGCACCTGCAGTCCAGGTACTGGTTCCCAGGTTGGATCGTCCACATCAAAGGCATGGTGCTCGAGGACAGCGGGCTGGTGGTGAGAGGGATATACCCACTGGGGATGTCTTCCTGGCGCAACCGTACTTGCAGTACACCTCCTCTCTCCATGAAGAGATGCAGCCACGTGCGCTGGTTCTTGTCCTCATACACCGAGGGCCCACGGTTCCTGAGGCAGACCGGGTGCGAGGTGAGGTGCATCTTCGAAGGGAGCTCGGCCATGAACCCTCCGTGGTCCAAGTAGCAACAGCCACAGCCTCTAGAGCCTCTTGCTACTTTGGTCCTGTTATCGAAAGACAGGGAATGGTGTCTCCAAAAGCATTTTACCTCGGCTTTTATCTTTATGTTTATTATGGTTGTGTTTGTTGTTCCCTTTGGTTTATTTTCCACATTTATAAATCTCAACTTTTCTTTCTTTTCAGCTTTAGATCTCTCTCCTAGAACAAACTGTAAAAAACTTACTTGAACTAAAATTTTACTCTGTGAAGGTAACAGGGTCGTATAGAATATTTTAAACAATTTTTAAATGAGTTGACATACAACCTTAGGTTCATTTCAGGGGTACACCCCAATTATCAGACATTATATAATGGACTAAGAAATCATGCAATTAATCTCAAACCCATCTGACACCATACACAGGTATTATAACATTACTAGAGGCTCAGTGCACAAAATTAATGCACTTGGCGGGTGTCCCTCAGTCAGGTCTGTGGCCCCTCTCAGTCCAGGACCCCTTGAGGAATGTCAAACTGACAGCTTAGGCCCGCTTTAGTGCTGCTCTGGAGGATCCCACCAACCCCTGTGCTCGGCAACTGTGAGCCTGGCCTTTGGCTGAGCGGTGCTCACCCTGTGGGAGTGCACTGAACACCAGTGGACAGCTCTTGCCATGAGCATCTGCCCGGGTGGTCAGTTTGTGTGTAGTGACCAATTTTTCTTCCATTTAGTTGATTTCCATTTTAGCCTTTAATATATAGGATTGCATTGACTCAATGCTCTACTTTACTGTGCCATGATGATTCTTTCGTTTTTTTTTTTTTCATAGAGTTTTACTGATTTCAGAGAGGAAGGGAGAGGAAGAGAAGTAAAGATCAATGGTGACAGAGAATCACGGGTTGGTTGCCTCCTGCATGCCCCCTACTGGGGATCAAGACTGTAACCCAGGCCTGTGCAATGACTGGGAATCAAATCAACTTCTCCTCGTTCCTAGGTTTAAGCTAAACAACAGAGCCATCCCAGCCAGGGTCCTTTCTCTTTTATTCTTCTCTTTTCTTTCCTTTTCTTTTCTTTTCTTTTCTTTTCTTTTCTTTTCTTTTCTTTTCTTTCTTTCCTTTCCTTTTCTTTTCTTTTGTCTTTTCTTTTCTTTCTTTCTTAATTAAAACTTTGTAGTTGGTTCAGCTTTTCTTTCTGTCCTCACACCACCACCTTCTTTCTGATCATCTCAGAGGGAAATCACAAACCATAGAACAAGGCACCCCATTCAAATCATATGCAAATAATATGCTGTACCTTTAACAGCTGGCAGAGGAACAAAGCTAATGTCTGCGTCCAGGTGGGCTTCTTCACAGTGGTCTTGCTTCTCAAGTGCTCGTGAGAGAGGCATACCAAAAAGTTCAGGGACAGACAGATACCTGGGATAGCTGATCAGCAAATTAGGAAGCAAAATGACAGGTGAAAGAGCAAGTAGGATTCCTGAGGTCTCATGGCATCAGTTATAGAATGTTCTCTCCCTTCACAAAACCTCAGCCATGCTCTTGGCAAGAGATGTATGGTTTTGCTGCTAAACTCACTTCATTCCACAAAGTCCAAATTCCTCCCTCATCAGACTCCATCCTCAATCCTTCCTCCTCCTCCTTCTCCTTCTCATACCATACACGTTTTTCTTACCTGTTCTTCTTGCTCTGATGGGAAAGTACCGTTCGTAGCTGCTTTCCTCTGTGACTGGTCTCCTCTCCCCACTGTCACCTGTAGAAGAAAGAAAATGGCCATGATACACATATTCCCAGGAGTCATGTACCAGGAATGTGTCCAGAAAAACAAGGTTCCCCGAACTCACACCCCGGAAACCAGTCGCATGAAACAGGTGCTGGTGGGGAAGGAAAGAAGTTTATTGAAGTGCCGGCAACCTGAGAAGATGGGGGAAGCTCATCCCAAAACTCATCTGCACATCTCAGTGCAAGCAGACGCTTTTATAAGGAGGGAGAGGCCAAACAGAGCAAAGAGGTCAGGGGGCAGGGCTTGAGAAGTTCTCTTCGTGCCCACAGGCACAGTCCAATCTGATAAGAATCTTGCAAGTGGTCAGGTGACAGTAGATTGTGCGTCATCCTAGGGTGGAAAAAATGGTGAGGTCAGTTGTAATTCCCATGAATTACATGAATTCATGCAATTACTGTGACATGAATTCTGAGGTGCTTCGTACATCTTCAAGGCGTTTCCACCCTTTGAAAAAGTCAAATAGGCTCTAGTCGGTTTGGCTCAGTGGATAGAGTGTAAGCCTTCGAACTTAATAGTCTGGGATTTGATTCCCAGTCAAGGGCACATGCCCAGGTGTGGGCTTGATTCCCAGTGAGGGACTTGCAGGAGGCAGCCGATCCATGATTCTCTCATCAAGGATGTTTCTAACTCTCTCCCTCTCCCTTCCTCTCTGAAATCAATAAATATATATTTGGAAAAAAAAGTCTCTTTCCACTTATCGAAACTAACTCGTGGGCTAGGTCGCCTTTAAATGGCTACACACCTGGTGTATAAAACCAAAAAAAAAATAATAAACTATTTTAAAACAATGTGAATTTAGTCTGAATGCAACCCTTGCTTAAAATTTTTAAATATTTTTATTGACTCAGAGAGGAATGAAAAGCGAGAGGGAGAGAAACATCCATGATGAGAGAGAATCATGGATTGGCCGCCTCCCACAGGCACCCTATTGGGGATCGAGCCCACATTCCGGGCATGTGCCCTTGATGGGGAATCAAACCGTGAACTCCTGGTTGATAGGTCGACAATCAGCCGCTGAACCACACCGGCTGATCCCGAAGTGCAATATTTTGATTTTGAGAAACACACCTCAGAAACACATCCGCACGGTCCCCAGTCCTTGGCCTTAAAGGTCTCAATTTGCATTTGCAAACACTCTCTTGCAAGAGCAGAATTTATTTTTTAAAGAAATATATTTTATTGATTTTTTACAGAGAGGAAGTGAGAGGGAGAGTGAGTTGGAAACATCGATAAAAGAGAAACATCGTTCAGCTGACTCCTGCACACTCCCTACTGGGGATGAGCCCACAGCCAAGATACATGCCCTTGACTGGAATCGAACCTGGGTCCATTCAGTCTGCGGGCCAACGCTCTATCCACTGAGCTAAACCGGTTTGGGCCTGCAATAGGAGAATTTAATCAGCAGTCAGTGATCTCTTTAATGCAAACATGGATGTCCTGATATTGACATCTGGGACTCCCTCCAGCTCGCTCTCCTGCCGCCTCTCTCTGGTGCGGTGCAAGATGAATTTTATGATCACTGGGCTTTGTTTGGGGCTGTTTAGTACTAAACACAACTAAAAACACAAATGCATACAGAGCTAGATGCTAAAGACACACATAGAGTCAGTTCGAGACTTCAGGAGAGGAGCCCTGGAATCCCTCATAATTCCTCAAAGGAAAGAGATGATTAGCATAAAACACCTGTAATTCCCCAATCATTCGTTCTTTTTATAGAGAAGGTAGTATCGGTTGAAGAACCTCAGATCAAACAATGAGAACCCTGGTCATTGAAATGAAAACTATTTCCAGGGATGTCTTTGAGCCTTGTCTACCAGAGCTGGTCTAAAATTTTCAGGCCTAAGTTCTTTTTCTTTGACTTTCTCTGTTTAATATATTTTTACTAGAGCCCCGGAGCACGAATTCAGAAACCAGTGTGGTCCCTCAGCCTGGCCGGCGGGATCAGGCCAAAAGTAGCTTTCAGACATCTCCCGAGTGGTTCCAGATTATGTGAGGGCACAGGGCAGGCCAAGGCACCCCACCGGTGCCCCATTACGTCTAGGGAGGGACACGGGAGGTTGGCTAGCTGGTGAGGGACCTTGTGAGGGCTCCAGGGTGTGTCCAACATGTTTCACTCAGTCCAGAACATCCAGACTAGAGCAACAATGTAACCTACCAGTCTAAATGTTTTGTCCCTGGTTGTCAATGCATGTCATAGTGACCAGTTGAGCAACCTTAGTATATCATTTGCATATTATGCTTTAATTGGTTGAACAGATGACCGGTTGACTGGACACTTAGCATATTAGGCTTTAATTATATAGGATTGATTTCATACATGAAGGGAGCGGGAAAAATCAATGATGAGTGAGAATCATACATTGGGTGCCTCCTGCACACCCCCTACTGGGGATGGAGCCCAAAACCAGAGCATGTGCCCTTGAACAAAATCAAACCAGGGACCTTCAAGAGTCCACAGTCCAACCCTCAATCCACTGAGCCTATCAAGCTAGGGCTCATTGGTTAATTCTTGTTGTGCCCTGACCAGGAATGGAACCGTGAACTCTGGGTTCATAGGTCGTCCCTCAACCACTAAGCAACACCAGCTTGGCTCAAAATGCTTTTATTGATTTGAGAGAGAGAGAGAGAGTCAGAGAGAGACAGACAGAGAAAGAAAGGAGGAGGAAGAGAAGAAGAAGAAGAAGAAGAAGAAGAAGAAGAAGAAGAACAAGAAGCAGAAGAACAAGAAGAAAGAGAGAGAGAGAGAGAGAGATCAATGTGCCCTCTCATCCAGGGCGTTGCAGGTAGAACAACAGAGCTTATTAAAAAGGTGCACAGAACTATACACCTTCTACTGGCAGGATAGCAGGACAGGGGCTCAGGTTGACAAGAGCCAGGGACCCCAGCACATGTCCTATGTGTTTGCCCGCAGCTCAAGGATCATTTCCTCCACGCCATTCTCCTTGACGTGGTGCACAATGCGCCAGAACCGGCACATGGGGTCCACGTACTGGCCTACAGGGTTGAGCCTCCACATCCAAGGCATGATGATAGAGGTCAGTGGGCTGTTGGTGACTTCGATATCCTCACTGGGGATGTATTCCTGGTGCAACAGTATTTGCAGGACACCTACTGTGTCCACGACAAGATGCAGCCACGTGCGCTGGTCCTCGTCCTCATACACTGCGTGCCCACGGATCCTCAGGCAGTACGGGTGCGAGGTGAGGTGCACCTTCACAGGGAGGTTGGCCATGACCCTTCTGTGGTTCAAGTAGCACAGCCACAGCTTCTCAGAGCCTTTTGCTACTTTGGTCCTGGTATCGAAAGAAAGGGGATGGGGTCTCCAAATGCATTTTACCTCGGCTTTTATATTTATGGTGTTTAAGGTTGTGTTTGTGGTTCCCTTTGGTTTATTTTGCAAATTTATAAATCTCAACTTTTCTTTCTTTGTAGCTTTAGATCTCTCTTTTTGAACAACCTGTACAAAACCTACTTGAAGTAAAGTATGACTCTGTGAAGGGAACATGGTCCTATGGAATTTTAAAAACATTTTTAAAATGAGTTAACATAGAACATTAGGTTCATTTCAGGGGTACACCCCAATGATTAGACATTATATAATGGACTAAGAAATCATACAATTAATCTCATACCCATCTGACACCATACACAGTTATAATATTACTAGTTGAATTTTAAAACATTTTTGAAATGACAGTTGACATACAAACTTAGGTTCATTTCAGGGGTACACCCCAATGATTAGACATTATATAATGGACTCAGAAATGATGCAATTAATCTCATACCCATCTGACACCATACACAGTTATAATATTACTAGAGGCTCAGTGCACAAACTTTATACACTTTGGGGGGGGGGGTTGATCAGCCAATCCTGTGGCCTCTCCCAGTCCAGGACCACGTAAGGGATGTCTAAGTGACCTCTTAAGCCTGCGTTAGTGCTGCCGTGTGGCTCCCACCAACCCCTGTGCTCGGCAGCTGTGATCTTGGCATTTGTCTGATCAGCGCTCCCCCTGTGGGAGTGCACTGACCACCTGTGGACATCTCCTGCCATGAGTATCTGCCCCCATTGGTCAATGTGTGTCATAGCAACCAGTCCTTCTGCCATTTGGTTGATTTGAATAGTAGCCTTTTATTATATAGGATTGCATTGACTCAATGCTCTACTTTACTGTGCCATGACTATTCTTTTGGTATTTTGAAATAGTTTTACTGATTTCAGAGAGGAAGGGAGAGGGAGAGAAAGAGAAAAAATAGATCAATGATGACAGGGAATCATGGATTGTTTGGCTTCTGCACACCTCCAACTGGGGATCAAGACTATAACCCGGGCATGTGCCCTGACAGGGAATCAAACTGTGATCTCCTGGTTCCTCAGTTGAAGCTAAACAACTGAGCCATGCAAGCCGGGCTCTTTTCTCTTCTGTTATTTTTATTCTTTTCATTTCATTTCATTTCTTTTCTTCTCTTCTCTTTTTTTTAAATTAAAACTTTGTAGTTGGTTCAACTTTTCTTTTTGTCCTGACAACACCACGTTCTTTCTGATCATCTCAGAGGGAACTCACAAACCATAGACCAAGCCCCTCATAGAAATAACATGCAAATAATATGCTTTACCTTTAACAGCTGGCCGAGGAACAAAGCTAACGTCTGTGTCCAGGTGGGTTTCTTAAAAGTGGTCTTGCTTCTCAGGTGCTGTTGAGAGAGGCAAGACCAAAAGATTCAGGGACAGACAGATACCTGGGATAGATGATCAGGCATACAGGAAGCAAAGAGACAGGTGAAACAGCAAGTAAGATTTGTGAGGTCTCATAACATCACTTACAGATGATCTCTCCCTTCCTCAAACTTCAGCCAAGCTCTTGGCAAGAGCTGTATGATTTTGCTGCTAAACTCACTTCAGTCCACAAAGTCCAAATTCCTCCCTCAGATCAGACTCCATCCCCAATCCTTCCTCCTCCTCCTCCTCCCATTCATCTTTTTCTGACCTGTTCTTCTATCTCTGAAGGCAAAGGCCCGTTCTTCACTCCTTTCCTGTGTGACTGGTCTCTGCTTCCACCTCTCAACTGCAGAAGAAAGAGCATGACCATGACACACATATTCCCAGGAGTCCATGTACTAGTAATGTATCCATAAAAACAAGGATCCCCTGACTCACACCCCAGAAAGCAGTCCTGAGAGACAGGTGGTGGTGAGGTAGGAAAGAGGTTTATTCAGGTGCCGGCAACCTGAGAAGATGGGGAAAGAACGTCCCAAAACCCATCTGCAAATCTCCGTTCAGGCAGAGGCTTTTATAAGGAGGAAGAGGCCACACAGAGAAAAGAGGTCAGTGGGCGGGGCTTGAGAAGTTCTCTACGTGACCACAGGCACAGTTAAATCTGATAAGGATGTTGCAAGTGGTCAGGTGATGGTCCAGTGTGCATCATCCTAGACTTTGTCCTCCTGGTTCTAAGGTTGAAGGTCATCAAATCTCCCAGAACTGGGAAGTCAGAGTTTATATCTTCTAAAATTAGTTCCTAGGATTCTTATACAAACATGCTGTTTACCTAAAAGCTTAATTATTAGTCACAGTCTGCATTTACAGGAACAATGTGGAAAGAATGGGAGGTGAGTTGTAATTCCCACTGTGACATGAATGCTGAGATGCTTCAAGGCGTTTCCACCCTTTGAAAAAGTCAAATTAGCCCTGGCTGGTTTGGCTCAGTGGATAGAGTGTCGGCCTTGGACCTGAAGGGTCCTGGGTTCCAATCCCGGTCAAGGCACATTCCCAGGTTGTTGGCTTGATCTCCAGTGAGGGACTTGCAGGAGGCAGTGATCCATGATTCTCTCTCATCATGGATGTTTCTAACTCTCTCCCTCTCCTTTCCTCTCTGAAATCAATACAAATATCTTTCAAAAAAAAAGGCCAAGGCTCTATCCACTGAACCAAACCAGCTTGGGCGCTAGGTAGTATTTAAATGACTACCCACCTGGTATGGTAATTCAAAAATTAATAAACCATTTTAAAACAATGTGCATTTAATCTGAATGCAACAATTGCTAATAGTTTTAAAAAAATTTTTTTTGACTCAGAGAGGAAGGGAAATGGAGAGGGAGAGAAACATCCAATCATTGATGGGCCGCCTGCCACACGCACCCAACTGGCGATTGAGCCCGCAACCTGGGCATGTGCCCTTGACCGGGAATCAAACCATGACCTCCTTCTATATTGGTAGTCGCTCAACCATTGAGCAATCCCAGCCAGGCCGAAAGTGCCATATATTGAATATGAGAAACACACCTTAGAAACACAACCCTCACGCTCCCCAGTCCTCAGCCTTAAAGGTCTCAATGTGCATTTACAAACACTTTCCTGCAAGAGGAGAATTTAATCATCAGTCACTTATCTCTTTAATGCAACCATGGATGCCCTGAAATTGATTTCTGGGGCTCCCTCCAGCTTCCTCTACAGCCCCCTCTGTTGGTGTGATGCTAGATGAATTTTATGATCGCTGGGATTTGTTTGGGGCTGTTTAGCGCTACACACAATTAAAAACCCAAAGGCATCCAGAGCTAGACACTAAAGCCATACACAGAGCCGGCTCGAGCCTTCAGGAGATGAGCCCTGGCATCCCCCGTAATTCCTCAAAGGAAAGAGATGATCAGCATAAAACACCCGTAATCACCCAAGCATTCACTCTTTTTTGGAGAGGGTAGTATGGGTTGACGAACCTCAGGAGATAAAACAATGAGAACGCTGGTCATTGAAATGAAAACTATTTCCAGTGATGTTTTTGAGCCTTGTCTACCGGGGCTGGGCTAATATTTTCAGGCTTAAGGTCTTTAACCCTTTCCCCAGCAGAAACGTGTATACTCGTTTTCACAAAATGTTCTTTTTCAGTCGTCGACAAGTATACTAAGAAAATATGGTAAAAAAATATGGTTTATAGGAAGACGAGTTACAAACTGTTTTCATAACCAGCATCAAAAATACTATATAGAACCAAAATAAAAAAATTAGTCTGAAAAAGAAACGTTTTTAACAAAAAAATTGTTGGGGAAGGGGTTAACTTTGTCTTTCTCTGTTTAATATATATTTACTAGAGGCCAGGTGCACGAATTCATACACCAGTGTGGTCCCTCAGCCTGGCCTGCGGGATCAGGCCAAAACCGGCTCTCTGACATCTCCTGAGGGGTCCCAGATTATGAGAGGGCAGAGGCCAGGCCACGGCACACCACCGGTGCCCCATTAGGTCTGGGGAGGGACACGGAGGTTGGTCAGCTGGGGAGGGACCTTGTGAGGGCTCCAGGGTCTGTCCAGCATGTCTCACTCAGTCCTGATCAGCACGACTAGAGCAACAATCTGACCTACCCGTCTGAATGTCTTGTCCCTGGTGGTCAATGGATGTCATAGTGACCAGTTGAGCAACCTTAGTATATCATTTACATATTATGCTTTGATTGGTTGAACGGATGACCAGTTGACTGGAAACTTAGCATATTAGGGTTTTATTATATAGGATTGGTTTCATAGAGGAGAGGAGCGAGAAACATCAATGATGAGAGAGAATCATACATCGGGTGCCTCCTGCACGTCCCTCACTGGGGATCGAGCCCACAACCACAGCATGTGCCCTTGACCAGAATCGAACCTGGGACCTTCTGCAGTCTACAGTCCAACCCTCGCACCACTGAGACAAACATGATAGGACTGATAGGTCAATTCTTGTCTGTGCCCTTACCAGGAATCCAACCATGACTTCCAGGTTCATAGGTCATCCCTCAACCACTCAGAAACACCTTCTTGGTTCAAAATGCTTTTATTGATTTCAGAGAGAGGGAGATAGACATAGAGATAAGAATAGACAGAGAGAGAGAGAGAAAGGAGGAGGAGGAGGAGGAAGAGGAGAAGGAGGAGAAGAAGATGAACAACAACAACAAGAACAAGAAGAAACAGAGAGAGAGAGAGAGAGAGAGAGAGAGAGAGAGAGAGAGAGAGAGATCAATGTGCCCTCGCACACAGGTGGTGGCAGATAGAACAACGGAGCTTAGTAAATGGTGAACAGAACTATACATGTCCCACCAGAAGGCCAGCAGGACTTGGGCTCAGGTTGACAGGAGCCAGGGACCCCATCACGTGTCCTAGGGGTCACCCATAAGCTCAAGGATCATTTCCTCCACTCCATCCTCCTTGAAGTGGTGCACGATGCCGCAGAACCGGCAAATGTGGTCCTCGTACTGGCCTTCAGG